GCACCTGGGTTTTACCAACTGGAAAATATGGGGCAGGCATGAGCTCCAGAGTGCTCCACCAGCAAGGCCCAGGTGGGATTTTTCAGAGTACCCACGTGGTGTCTGTTCAAATCCCAGCTTCCCTAACCTCAGCCAGAGCTGTTTGCAGACTCAGCACTTCAGTGCGTTCAGAATATGAGAAAAAGGAAACTGATGGCTCTCAGAGAAAAAATGTCAGTGGTTTAAAGAGGTGAGAGCTCCTTTGCTGAGGCTGTGCTGAAGCTCTGCTGCACAGTGAGCCAAAGAGCAGAGTAACGCTGATATGGGCAAAGGGATGGACTTCAGTCTATTCAAAGTGACTTGAATTTGTGAATTTTTCAGCAAAAAAAAATGTTTTCTTATCTTAGCCTTTCTCTGTAACATCTGTACTCTGCTTTCTCTTAATCTCTTACAAATTTTTCACCTTTTACTAACAATTTCAGCAGAGGACGTTTCTCACTTTCAACCCAAGCAATCTTAACCTTTCCTTTGGCACAGGTAGAAAGAGGAGAGAGCAGGACAGACACTCAGTAAGAGCTCCCTGTGCCACTGCCAGCATAAGAGGGAGCCCCACTCAAATGGTTTCCAGTGAGTGCACTGGGAGCAGAACTCGCTGATCACCAAACAGCTTAGAAAAGGACAGTATCAAGAGGAGAAGAAGGGCATGAACCTTCATTGCTGCCTGACAGCCCCTTTCTGCACTGGGCTCTCCTGCTTTGTGCCCACTTAACCCACCCTTTGTGTCCAGGACAGGTTCTCCTGAGCCTCTCTCAAGCACGTCTAAGTGGCAGCGCTCTCTTCTCCAGCAGCTTCTGTAGGCAGCACAGAGCTCTCTCACCCTGCTAGAAATTCATGGGCCTGCCTGGCTTGTCATGCCAGAGAACATCCAGCATTTTCAGCAAGGCTTTTAATTCATTAGCTCACATAGGAAAATATTCTAACCTTCCTGCCCTCCCCAGCTGAGTCATTGACGCTTTCCTATCTTGCCGCAGACACATCACCTTCAGGATAATAATTGCTTAGCACGCTGATAACAGGGGACATTATCTTTCTGAACTGGGTGTTTGTTTGGGATCACAGGGTCCCCCTGCAATGAGGACTGCAGGGCACACTGGGGTTGCTGTTTAAAACACGTCCTGACCTCCCCTTGCAGGCTGTGGGAAACCCTGTGTGGTCACCGAGCTTGCTCCCAAGGGAAACTGGGGGGAATGCTGGAGGAAGCTCAGTCAGGGGGAAGGGGCTGAAGGGTTCTGGGAAGGACTGGATGAGCTGTGGTGGGAGGGAGCGTGCAAGGGAGAATAACTATAAAATAAAGAACTGTCTAAGATGTAAAGACAGTGCTAAAAAGAACACCCTTGAAGCATTTAATTTTCATGTCTGACCTCTCTACAGAATCAGTGCACAGGCCAAAGGTCTTTTCAGGGATCTGAGCTATTTGGGGACTTGAGCTTTGCCCAAAGGCTCCTTTGGATACAGAGGGAGCAGAAAGTTCTAAATTTGTTGTCTGCAGTTGTCTACAAGTGTGACCACCCCCTCTCACGGGTGAGGACACACAGGGAGAGAACAGGGTTGTCCAGAGCAGAGTTAGGAGCCCCAGAAATCACCCCAACCCTTCAGAGATTATCACCACAACGATAGGTTCAGAGTTATTTTCTAGCGACCACCTACTCAAGGATAAAACACAGCACCCCAACTGCCCTTGTCCATACCCAGAAGGCTCAGCAAAGACTTGAGGGCTCCAGCCCAAACATCACATTCATGGAAGCCTCTCAGGAGGTCGGGCGAGCCTGACTTCTAGGAGGGCAGTGGTCACAGTTTCATAGCAAGGAACTGAAGGCTCCGTCACTGGAACACGTTGCCCAGAGATGTTGTGGATGCCCCATCCCTGGAAGCGCTCAAGTCCAGTCTTGGATGGTGCTCTGAGCAATCTGATCTAGCAGAAGGTGTCCCTGTCCATAGAAGTGGGGTTGGAACTGGATGATCTTTAAGGTTCCTTCCAACCCAAACCAGCCTATGATTCTGTGATATGTTTATCTACAGCTGGCACTTGACCCAAGGGCTTCTGTAGGCAAGAGCTGGAGGAATTTAACCAGAGGCCCAGCCAGCAGTTGGATTCACTTACAGGCACATAAGCACATTATACACAGAATCACAAAATACAGATATAGCTATTGCCCTTGACTTCTTGAAATAAGCTGCACGAGCAATTGGGACAGCAGAGGGTACCATACCTCCAGCCTCAGTCTTGGTTCTGTAACCAGAGCTGCTGCATCAGTTCTTGTCTCTTGCTCCAGATGATCCTAATTTAGTTCCCACTGAACTGCCTGCATTGCCTATACTGTAAAATGGCTGCTGTCTGGCAGCCTGACTGCCTGGACAAAACTCTTGAAAGGTGCCTGAATTTGGGTACCAGCCCTATTTCTGCCTCTGAGGTCCATCTCCTTTCTGTGCCTAAATTTCCTTCTCTGAAACATGGTGATTCCAATATAAACATTTCCTTTGTTAAGATCTTTCTGTCAGATGTGCTCTGCAAGTGTTGCAGGTTGTTGCTATTTCCAGGCCTATCATTATAACACATTTTGGCTGCACTAATTCCCTCAAACAGAAATTGTTCTGCCTGTAGTAGGCTGGGACAAAGCAGCCAATTAGTTGTCCCTTACACGTTTATTAACTCTGCAGCTTTCTTTCAATGAGTATGTGGAATCTGGTAATGTTTTAATATATTTTCATAAACTGTGGGCACAACATGTCCTGTTTCAAGCTAATAACCGTGCCATATAATTAGTCCTGATTACACAGATATTTAGTATCATTTTACATATTCCAGTCCTTTCCTAGTGCCACTGCCTAGCCAAGGCATATTTAAAGCCACAGCCATCTCCCTTCTGTTTCCCAGCAGTTTGCAAGATTTCCTTTTGGAGAGCTTTGCAGTTAACAGCTTCAAAGAACAATTTCATTTCACTGATGCACATTTTACACACACACACATATATATATATATATATACACACAGGCTCTGATCAAATGTCAGGTGACAAAGCCCAGGATACAATTAGAAGGCATTTGTCTACTTGCAGGGAAAAGCTGGTCTTTGAAAGCCATCAGGAAATTAACAACATGAATCTTTAAAAATCCATCCCTTAAACATCTTTTGGCATTGGGCTGAACATTTACCTTATTTAGGATTTTACTGCGAGGTAGCACTTCCCAAACAAAAGATCTCTCACCCCATTAGGCTCTGGTGGGGGAATAAGAAAAATGTGCTCTGTGCAACCCGACTGTAGATGTGTATCTTTCCCTGCTGGCGTGGCTGTCTCTATAGAGATGGACATGGATATTTGATGAGATTAAAATGCTTCAGTTACCACTGTCAGTGGTTCTTTAATTTAAAATGAAGAAGGCAAACAAACATTCCTTTTGATGAGGTAACTGAATGATGCTACGGAAAAGCACTTTGCTGTCAGGTGGTAATTAGGTTCAGTAATAGTTGTGGGTTTTTAGCCTTGGAGGCTGTGGCCCTTGGGAGTCTGAGAGAAATGATACATTCAATTTCCGGAGGAGAGGAAGATGCTGGATGCTTTTCTCTGCTAACCCTGCAGGTCTCTGCAGATAAGAGCATTCAGAACTGCAGTGCTGACAATCCTCCTTGAGCCAGCCTAAACTGTGGTGTCAAGATCACAAACAGAAAAGGGAGATGGACTCAAAGCAGGGTGTTTAAACACCTAATGCAGGCAGCCTGGCTCTGACCATATATATATAGGGAGCTGCTAGAATGGCTGTTATGAGAGGATTTTTAAAGGCTGCAGAAAGAGCTCCAGCAATTCCTCTCTGGTCTGGGCTGATATTTGTAACATCCATCTTACCGCATCACTAGAAAATCTTCAGTAGGAAAGTGTTCCTTTGCAAACAAGTAACTGTTCCAACAGCTACGTTTTTAAGGGAGGAAAAAAGTGGGGAGAAAGAGGGAGTGAATCTCAAGGCTCAGCTGCCTCTCTTGCCAATTTGGAATTGCCTTTTCCATTGCAAAACAGAAATTGTATTTGGTTGTGCTGTTAAGGGTTGAAACCCAAATGAAACATTGCAGTTGACCCGAATGCATTTTACTGAAAATTTTGAGTCTGGGGGCATTATTGCTGCTCTCTTATAACAGAGGCAAATTCTGAAAATTGTGTTGCCCATGAAACAGGTGCTCTGGTTCCTGCTCTGCTTCTCTCTTCATGCTGCTACACAGCTTTTCCAGTTCAAGGAATGATGGTTCTCAACAAACAGTTCAGTGGTATCACCCCCGCTCCTCACACAAGCTAAGGGACACTAAAAGGACTCAGTTGGCCAGCACCAGAGACGGGCCAGCAGTGCTTCAGGGAGTCAAGCTCAGGCATTCCATGCCTTTGTGCATTGCTCACCAGTGCCTCACTTCACATCCTACTTCCTTCTGGATTAACATCCACTGAGCTGGTTGTAAAACCCAAGTGAGGACTTACAGCGAGAGGGGGTCCCCAGGTAAAATGTCCCAGCTGGACTGGCAGAAGGAAACTGCCACCTGGATGCCAGCCCTGCAGCATGTCCAAGGGGAGATGGGGAACTCTGCCTTTAGCACAGGCTTGCCAGTAGTTTCCTGAAGCACTGAAAAAGTTTTCACTTCCAGAATTAAAACTTTGCAAAATAAAGTGGGTCTGATTCACTCTCAGGAGATAAATGAAGGGTAAGTCCATTAAAGATACTGGTGTGAGATTGGTGTATAGCAGACAGAATTCAGGAAAGATATCGATATCTCCAAAATCCTCTGAATACTTTTTCAGACATAAACCAGGTATCTTTCCTGAACATAAATGCTTTATTTCCAAATGGAATTTCAATAAAATAAGCACAGTTGGACTAGCACGCTTATTATAAAGCCGTAATGCAGTAGAACTGAAGTTTAGTCATGAAAGGTATTAAAAAAGCAGCCCTGCTAAAGCAAGAGAAATTGCTTTCTGACCTACCGAGTTTTAGGAGTAGTTCCTAGTGGTCTCTCCACCAAGGAGTTCAGCCTGTAGTAATCCAAGAATGTCCTGGCCACATTTCTTCCAAGCTTCATATCTGGGAGTTCTTAATTAAGGAACATTTTTTTTAACCTTTAAAAAAAAATATAATAATAATAATAATAATAATAATAATAATAATAATAATAATAAAAGCAGCGTCTAAAGGTAAATTATTGCTATTTAATGCAAGAGCAAGTTTTACATTAACCATCCCACAGTGCTCAAGCTTCAAGCAAAATGACTTATGCAAAAAGATAAGGTGGGGGTCATCTTGTTTGCTTCTTGTTTTCACAGGCAGATGCTGTATAAAACCACAGACAAGGAGGAAACAAACTCCCTTTCCCCCCACGCCTGGTTGCAGATCCCTGTGGTTCTCATGAAATAATACATTAGACAAAAGGGGCCCTCCAATTTCCACATTCAGGGAAAATAATTGCCTATAAATGCTTGGATACAGGCAGTATTTCTGTGCTTGTATCCAGGAAACGAGGTCAGCTATATCATGGTATGAACCAGCCATGGACCAGTCTGCTGAAGGTTGGGATTAAAGCTGTAGCCCCCTCCCCAACCTTTGGCTCTGACCCCTACACTGTCCAGGGACAATATGCTGTTCTTTACCTGTGTTGTATTCAGGACCTGAAATGGTGATTTTAGCACTAAACTGGAAGGACAGTAGTTTACCTTAAGGAGTTCAGCAGTAACTCCAGTGTCTTGTCTCCTCTCCAGCCATGATTTCTCCTTCAGCTAACCCCGAGCCCAGCACTAGCCAGGTGGTGCACACTCAAGCTGCCACAGAGACCTCACAGGTACGGTAATCAGACCTTCCTGAAGACTCAATTGCCTAAAAAGAAGCTGAATAACCTGCGAATGCACTGAAAAATAATATCCTAGACAACATGTACATAGGGTGAATGTGCTGCTTGTGCGAAATGCCAGCACTAAGTCTGCCTATTACAGAGCAGCATCTCCTTATCACCTACAGGGTGAGAGATACGAAGAGGATGCCATTCTCCACAGCTGTATTATGGAGGCTGAAAATTCCTTTATTTGCCTGTTTGGAACAGATGCCTACCTGTGCTAAAATAACCCCACACTTCTTCAGGACACTGTCCCAAATGGTCACCGTGGTGGGCGTCTCAGCAGTGCTGATGTAGCAGCTGAGGCAGGAACATAACCTGGGGAATCTAAAGAGACCTTTGCAATCCACACCCAGCAGTCCAGGAAAATAAACCATTGCTGGGTTGTTTTGTGTGTGTGCGTGCATGTTCTGCTTTATCAATAGTTATCTGCTGATGTTTCCATTAGAGGAAAATTCCAGAAGTGCAGTGTCCCAGGGGCTTCCAGCAGCGCCTGTGAAGACTCTGGCTTCTAAATGAAGCTTTTATTACCCGCCCACTTACATTAGACACATCAAAACAAGTGAGCATGAGACATCAGGTTCAGGCATCGCTGTGAGATCTCTGGTTATCATTTATTTATTTATTTATAAGGAAGGTCGAACAGACACGACAGTCTTTAGCTCTACTTCTGCAAAAAAGCCAGCCACCAGCTCTGCTAGTGCTGCAGTGAGGGCCAGTTCTAGTGGCTGAGGATGACTCCTGACACTGCTTTTCCCCTCGGTGATCCTGTCCCGCTTTTGCAGTTCCCACCCCTGTGCTTGGGGACAGTTACACGGATCTGTCCCTTCTGTTTCGGGGTCTGTCCTGATAGCGCTCACTGCAATCCTAATACCATATGTGCTGCGGGCATCTACATCCTTCAGCCCAACAGTGCAGCACAGCCTGAACAGCTGGTGTTCCCGGCTGTTGTCTGCGTGGACAGGGAGAGCTGGTTGTGTGAATCAGCACCGGCTGTTCCCCGGCTGCGGCCGTGCCCAGCGAGCTCCCCTGCAGCCAGCGCCAGCGGGCGAGACCAACCGTACGTGCAGGAGACTTCAGCAAGTTGGAGACAGCTTAAACTTTATCGGTTCGAGGGAGGGCAGTGTTGCTTCGGAAGTGTTTTGTGATTGTTACCGGAATTTGGGGGTGGCTGGGGGTAGCCTGGTTTCTGCGGATGTGAACTCAAAGCGGTGGCGAAGGTTAGGAGTTCAGAGTAGTCTGAGGAAGCGAGAAAGAAGGGAAGAGGGCTGTCACACACTTCAGGGATTGAGAAGACTAGCGTGGCTTGATCTTGCAGTTTCTTTCATTTACTCACCACTTTAAAGACATAAAGTGGTAATTGGACTCAGTAAAGTCTCTAGGACATTTTGTCAGTGCCAGTCTCAGAAAGCTCCTCTGGCAGAAATGGCCCTGCTGCCCTTTTCTTTGCCTGTCTACACTGCATGTGTCTGCACGGTGAGAAACACCTGACCTGCTGTCTTGTGGGAGGAAGTCCTCAGATGAGAGTGGGTGCAGCCGAGGAAGTGGATCCACAAGCTCCTGCCTTACAACTCTACCTTAACCCTGATCTGCAGGAATCCAGTTCCACTGCCGAGCTCAGGTCTTGGGAACAGCTTTCTAAAGCTAAGGACAGCTAACCACTAGAACAACTTGCCTTAGCACATCTGGAAATCTCCAGAACAGAGGTCTTCAAGAACAGGTTAAACCCACAGCAGACACAAATGGTTTAGGTCTAACTGGTCCTGTGTGGAGTTTGGGTAAGAAAGTGTAGAAGGGCCTCTAAGGCCACTTCACCCCATTTTTCTACAGTTCTGAACATACTTTGCAGCCCACACAGAGACCTGTTTGCTTTGTCAAGAAAGGTAAGGGCATTTTGCAGAGCACGGATACACAGATGGATGAAAAACGTGAAAAAACTGGACATGCAAACCTGTGCCACGTGCAGCCACTGAAAAGTCACAAAATGGGAATAACTTGTGGCCAGCATTGATGGAAAGAGACTCAAACCAGCATGGGATAAAAAATGTGCATGTTCTAATGCTGGTCTCTCCTACTCCGCCTGCTCCACCTGTCACTCCCGCAAAGGATGAGCAGTTTCTGTCATGGAAATCAGGCATCTGATACATAAAACCAGAAGCAGCAGTGTCAGTCTCTCCCTGTGACTGTCCAGCCTGGGCGAGGGCTGGCATGATTCACTCAGCAAGCGCCTGCAGCACACGTGTGCAGGACCAATGGAGAAAAACAAATTAAAGCAATAACAGTTGCATTTATCTCAGGTGCATGGAAGACCCAAACTCCACTTTGGCTTACAGTGTATCCTGAGCACGCAAATAACAGCAACTGCAACCAGAACCCAACTTTTGCTGGGTGGTTTGGATGGTTGGTTGGTTTTTAACCAGCTTCCTTTCTGCAATCACACATGCTGTGTGCCCACAGGAGCTCCCTTCCTAGCTTGAACTGCACTAGACAGGAGCGTATTTCCCAGCTAGTCCTATCACGGGAGCTCAGCTCATACAAGACAGTCAAAATCTACTTGAGACAGTCAGGGTGGAAACAGCTGGGTGCATCTTCACCTTCACTAGCATCTGCCCTTTCATCTCCCTTCCTCCTCCACAGACTTATTCCTCCACACTCCGTATTTCCATCTGGAAGTGGAGACCGGGTGTGCCCAATGTCCCTCTTGAAAACGTCCTTCTCACAGCATTCACGCTTTGAATGGCATGAGCAGATCTGGGGAGATTTCAGGACAGTCTGTTTATGCACAACTCTGCCAAATTTCACAGATGTGAGGAAGTTCAAGAATTGTGATGGGCTCTCTGCAAAATCCCGGGTATTTATGATCCCCACCATGTCCCACAGCCCAAAGCTTCCATCCCTGGTAAGAAAAGAGGACACACGAGTGGGAACTCTCGTAAGCCATTACTAGTTTTCAACTGACACGATTCATTGATGCTATTGTGAACAGTCTGCTTAAGCTCGAGCCTCTGGAAGCACAGACACAGCCTTGTTCTGCCTGTGCATGGAGGCAATAAAAATCTCAATTTGGAAACCAGTTAGCAGTACAAGTCATTAGGGGAGGTACTAAATGTTGCTGCTTTAATAGCTCACTGATCCTTTAATAATGTCACTGCTGCAGAGCATGGTGGCACCATTCGCTCACTTTTGTTTTGCTTTTCCAAAATTCAGGGTCATTCCATTTTCAAGTGAGTGGATTATCTCTCTTTCCTCCTTCTGCCAGACACTGCAAACTGCTTTAAATAATTAGGAAAGGGATGGCTCCTTCAAATTCACCATCTCATTTTCATAAGGTCCAGTGTCATTGCTTTGGAAAAGCAAGAGAAGCCGTGATGGTGGTAAGGATTTGACAAGGGCAAAACAGTTAGCAGCCCCCACTCATCTTTGATAAGTCCTGTGGGGTCTCTGCCAAGCAGATTGGATCTCTGGTTTTATGTCTCATCTAGAGGACGGCACCTCCATCAATTTGAAACACTGTGCTGGGTTATTAGCTTATGGAATTCATCCAAGTTTAGTCCTAAGCAGGATTTGAAATCGTGACCGTTCAATCCAGAGGCACCACTGACCAGACCCACGCAAGCCTTTTGTTTCAGACAAACAGCTTTAAGTTATCCTAAAGACAGACAGAGGGGAAGGGGAAAAAAAAAAAAAATGGAAAGGAAGAAAGAGGGGAAGGAAAATGAGAACAAAGAGAAAGATTAATCTTTTTAATAGCTCAAATTAAAAACCAGAAGAAGCTCTTTGTTTGACACAACTGAATTCTACAGCAAATCTCAGTCCACCACAACAACAATCCTGTTATTTATGAAAAGAGAGTTATTTTGTGTGAGAGAGTCCCAGATGACTGTGGTCAGCGAGCATACTGTCAGCTTTGTACAATCTCAAGAGAAATATGGATGAGGTTTTCTCGTCTGTATATAACAGCTTCCATCAATGGATCAAACCCCTTCCTGACTCGAACAAGAGCTCTAATGGAAAATGGCATTACGCGGCTTTAAACCACCATGTTATATCATGCCAGCCTGATCAGACTAGTCCTCTATTTCAGCAGAGCTGTTTTCACCAGTTACTTACTTATTTTGTTTCACTGTGCTGACACTGCTCTCTAATAAACAGGTGCTGCCCATACCACATGTCACTGGGGGGCCCACTCCAAGCAAAG